ACTCCAATCCATTGACTTGCCTGGGGTCATACAACTAGTAAGTGTCTGAGGTCAGATTTAAATTCATGAAGATGAGTCTTTCTGATATGTATGTATATATGTATGTACAAATATGCATATGTATATGCACAAGTGTACATACATGTATGTACAAATATATGTATGTGTATATATGTGTGTATACACATATATACATATGTGTATACACACACACATATATACATATATATATATATGTTTCTTCTGCAACCCAAATCTGTTGCTTTGAACTGATCAGGTCTTCCGCCTGAGGCCTGAAAGGTAATACTGGCACGAGACTTGTGAACAATGGTTTTGAGTGGATGTCAGTACGTAGAGTTGAACCTTGGGTAGCTTTTATGGAGCTCCCGCCCATGAGAAGATGATGCTACGGGTGTAACATTTTTTGTCGGAGGTATTGGTGCATATGTCATATGCCCCTACTAGAGTGCAAATTGCATAAGGCAGGACCTGTGTTTTGACTAACCTTTGTATCTTCCCCATCACGTATCCCTAGGCTTTGTTCACAGGTACTGGGGTTGTGTGTGTAACAGAAGGAAGTTCACTTAGCCTAAAAATCAAAGTCTTTGTTTAGGGATTGGAGAGGTATCAGGAGGTACTATACTCAAATCTAACTTTCTTCACTTAATGTGTTTTCTTCTCTGCTCCACCCTACCCGTAGTGAATTGGACCATTCTTTCCATTCATCTTCTTGGAGAAGAAAAAGAAGGATACAAATAAGAGAGTAGACAAGAAGGAGAGAATTCAGGGGGAAGAAAAGAAACTTTGAGTGGAGTTCTATAACAGATTTTAATCTTAGGAGTTGAATGAAATTTAACTCCCTAAAACAGCGTGGGATTGCCGTTTCTTCTTTCTTCCATCCACCTCACTTCATTGACAACCTTTTGGAAAGCAGTGGCAGAGATGACTACCCTGTCTGTACTGCTTTCCTGATCTTCCAGAGCAGGGGAAAAGGGGATTGCCGGGAGTGCTGATGGTAGCAGCTGCAGCCATCACCCCATCAGCCGCCTCTGTGTGAGATTCTGCACTTTGTAATCAGCTTTGCCCTTGAACTTCGTTGCTCTGGGAAGCTGAAAATTGTGGCTGTTTCCAGAGGAGTATTTAGCAACCTTTCTCAAACTGTGATCCACCGTGCACCCCAGGGCAAGAGTCGTTTTCCTCCCAACCCTACCAGAGTCAGACATCTGTTCATCTGCACTCTGCCTCCCCCTCCCCACTCCCCACATATATCTTATACATACAAACATGCCAATCACCTTCTTTACTCTTCCTGCCAAGGTTATTATTCTCTCCTCCTCTCTCTACTCCCTTAGGTTTAAAAAAAAATAGGAAGAGGAATGACTCAGTTTAAATACCCTGGCTGTTGTAGCCTAGCATGATCAAAGCAAAGTGCCAACATGCATTAGCTAGAAATGGAAAGCTGTGCTTTAATGTAGCCACATATGCTGTACCTAAGAGAAGGGGGAAAATTCATTCAGTGAGTGTGCTGATGGGAGATGGGGAACGGGGAATGGGACAAGAGAAGACGCTATCTATTGACAGAGTGGCTACTTCCTGGTGCCCTTCCTCAGCCCCCTTGAAGGCAGCTGCTTTCACACAACACCCTTTCCTATTGTTTCTATGCCTCAGTAATTGCTTCTTGTGGTTTGGGGTGGGGGAGGTAATTAATGAGAAGGGCCACATGGTGTCGAAAGAAGGTTCTTCCACAGCTTTCTGAGAGATAAGTTTGGCATTTTAAGAAGCCTCATTGACTTTTCCAGGCCACCAGAGGGAATATTTACTGCAGAAAAGCAGAAATATATTAAACAGTCCCCCAGTGGTTTGAAAGACTAGAATTGGCCCTACTTTTAGGCTTGGTAGGCAGTTCATTATTCTGTGTGATATGAGTGAATGGCCTCCCATCAGTCTGTCAGCAGGCATTATTAAGTGCTTACTATGTGCCAGAGACTGTGCTCAAAGCTGGGGATACAATGAAATGCCAAAGGAAGTCTTTGCCTTTAAAGAGCTCAAACTCTAGTGGGAGAGACAATATGTAAGTAATGAGGTACATAGAAGTTATATACAGAGTAGATCAAAGGTAATTTAAGAGGGGAAGCCATTAGCAGCCTGGAGGGTTGGGAACAGCTAAGAACAGCTAGGTAGCCCAGTGGATAGAGTACCAAGGCTGGAGCCAGGAAGACTCATCTTCATTAGTTCATATCCAGCCTCAGACACTTTCTAGCTGTGTAGGACTAAGGTCGCAGGTGTATGTAACTAGGAAGATGGTGGTGCCCTCCACAGTAATAAGGACTTTTGGAAGGGAGGAAAGACAATCAATTCTGTTTTGAATATGTTGAGATTGAGAAGCCTATGGGGCATCCCATTCAAGATGTCTAAGAGGTAGTTGAATATGAACTGAAGCTCAGGACAGAGACTGAGGCACTAGAACTGGATGTATAGATATAGAATCATCTGTCTAAATATGACGAATGAATGAAGGGGACTTGGGACAGAGCATTAGGGGAACTTTCTATCTTATATCTTTCTGTCCTATATCTATACTAGTTTATATGATAGTGCCTGAAGTTCCTTCATAGATTTATTCTTTTGGGCTAAGACATCAAGTCACACGTTTAAAATGCAGAGTCACTACTTTCATTTCTCCAGAAGAACTGTTAAGAGCAAGCCTCTCTTTAAAACTTGACGCCTGCATCTGTCCATTAAAACTGTTAAAGGTTAGTGCTGCCTTTTTAACTAAAGATCCTTCATGGTATTGGACAATGTATAATGCTTGATGGCCAGAAATAATCCCACTAGAAGACATTTTCTCAAGTGAGAGATGAAGAGAGATATTTACTATTAGCGAATACACATAGACTTTGGGGACATATCTAGTTAGTTTAGTTATACACATGTAAGAAACAAATCCATCACAAATGGCATCTTTCATTTGAGAATATAATAATTAATAGTAATCATAAAGGCATAGACACACATTCCTGTAAATAGGATACAGTTATATTACCTGTCCTAGACCCAAGCAGTCTGTCTTACAGTCATAGTCTAGAACTACAAGGGATTTCAGAGGTCATCTAGTGCAATTCTATTGCTTTTACAAATGAGGAAACTGAGGCTCAGGAGGGCTCAGTGATTTGCCCCAGTCGCACATACAGTAAGTGACAAAGGCAGGATTTGGACAGTAGTCCTCTCACTCCATAGACACTACTCTTTCCACTATGCCAGGTCATGCAGTGAATGTTAGCTCCTACCCCATTAGAAAGATGAGAAAGTTGTGTCTTGGTTCTTCTCTGCTCAAAAGAGTACTTGCCGTCACTTTCTGCTGCCCGCTAGGAAGAAAGAAGGAAAAAATGAAGAGAATCAGACCTTAAAAGCCTGGTTTGTATTTAAGCTCCATTCATTTATTTGGTCTGGATTCTGGATCTAGAGACTCTATCCTTCCTCCTCAGCACCTCCTTGGAGTTTGGGGGCAACATTACATCTTTATCATTCTCAGCTCTATACCAGAGCCAAAGGTTAATGAAGGATTTTCCCCCTTTCCTACTTCCCTACATTCTTTTTATTAAATCAGATAGTTTTGAAACAAAGTGATTTTTCCTTGATAATAGCAAAAATCTACTGGTTTAATCCTTCCACATGCCTCCTCAGGGCCCCATTTTGTTTGGATTGGAACAGAGTAGGGAAGGAGTGAGCTATTTTCCCTCTCCCCTCCCCCATTCAAACAGCTAGAAGGTCACTTGGTGTCAGATGGTGATTATGATATTGCCAAGGATGGCTAATCAATCAGGACCCTAACATTAGGCTCTTAGTAATCATTAACACCCTATCTTGAAATAATTTATACTATTAGCAGGAAGGCATTTAGACCCTGAGGGAATGAGACTTAGGATGATTGAATTTTGATGAGGAGAGAGAAGAGGGCAAGATTTGGAGCCTGAGTGATAATATATGGAGAGTAGGCCTGACCAGGTGGTGGTGGAGGGAACCTGGATACTTAAAATTAGAGTGAAATAGTAGATAGGGCACTGAATTTAGCAGCAGAAAGATTTGGGTTCAGATCCTACTTCTGATAATTACCTAGATAAAAGAACAGCAAGAAGCACATTAGGTGAGTCACTTAATCTCTCTTGGGCCTCAGTTACATCATTTTAAAAATGAAGCAGTTAATTTTTATGCTGGTGAAAATTAATGTCATATTCCTTAAACAAACAAACAAAAAGAGGTGATTAGAGTTGATGGACTTAAGGTCACTTCCTGCTTGAAAATCTATCAGTACCATTGGGAAAGGGGTAGGGGTGTGTGTGTGTGTGTGTGTGTGTGTGTGTGTGTGTGTGTGACAGAGACAGAGAGGAGAGAGTGAGAGAAAGATGAAATCAGGGAGAAAGACCTACCCAAAAAGAAGATGTGAGAACAGAAAAGACAAGCTTCCTAGGTTTCCCCAACATTAGCCTATTTAAAGATATAATACTCTTACCAACAAAGATACCAAGTGTACTTGAATCATTCAGCAGTGATTAAGTCTTTATTATATGCCAAGTGAAAAAAATAGGGAAAAAAAAGAAAACAATTTCTCCCCTGGAGAAGCTCACATTCTAAAAGAGGAGACAGTATGGATATGGATAGCCACATACAAAATACTCAGACTAGATTCAAGGTAACCTTAGAGAAAAAGGCATGAGCAACTGGGAGGAGGCATTATGATTGCATCACTTGAGTATCCATACTCTTGAGATGTGATACCTATCGAGGAAATATTATCTGTGTAATCTGTTTAGTGCTTTAACAAATAGCTAAGGTATTACACAATGTTACTAAGAATTGGTGTCTTAAAGTCAAAAGTTGTAATTTAGATTTTTTTTGTTGTTGTTGTTTAAGAATTCCATTCTGGTTTCAGTCTGCTGGTTATCCTGCCATCCATCATTTAGCAGAGCTGTGTTTTTAATAGTTTCTCATTTATCCAACAGGGTGGACTAAGTGCCCAAGCTTTTGTTCGAGTGGAGCTAAAGGATGTAAATGATAATCAACCTGTTTTTAACCCGGCCTCCTACGTGACAAGCATCAGTGGTCACACACAGCCAGGCACGGAGATTCTCAACGTTGTCGCTACTGACAGGGATGATGGAATATATGGAGTAGTGGCCTATGAGCTCATTCCAGGAGACTTCTCCTCTCTCTTCACAGTTGACTCTGCCACAGGTATGTGAGAAGTTTAGGTAGGGCTAGAATCAATCTTAGGACGGTTTTCTTCTGAAAGCAATGGCTTCTGTGTGTAAGAGTGAGAGTACACAAACCAGAAAATTAGATTGGATTGTTCGGAAAAGAAGGAGCTATTCCTTACAACAAATGATACCTTGATATAAAAATTGGGTGACGTGTAATTAATACTCATGAAAGAGGAGAAAAAAAGCTGTTTTGCCAGTAGATAACCTCTAAATGAAGTATGCCACTATTATTTTTTGTCCAATCTGTATTATATTAAAATACCCTTTCTGGGAAGGTTGTCTTGCTAATTAAAATGTCGCTTATTAACATTTCATACTTTGAAGCATCAATTTCAGGTATTAATAAATGATATTAATGAAAAGAACAATGGGCCAGCCTCAGAAGAACTGGATCCTATGAAACTTAGTCTCTCTGAGTCTCATTTTCCTCATCTGTAAAATGAAAACAATGAATTAGATGATCTCTAAGGTTTTTTCTAGATTAAAAAAAAATCTGTTATTCTAAAGGACACCAGGTACAGGGTAACTTTGTCCCACAGGCATTTACTTTTCTAAAGAAGCATTGGTTTCTATAAAGCGTCACCTTCCTCTGTTTATTGCTAGTAGAAAGATTTTTAATACCTTAGAAAATCGGGAAATATTGAAACTCCAAGTATCTATTTTAGCAACCACTTACATGATTAGGTATTAAGTGAGCCAAAGAAAGACCTCTAGAATTGAGAACAGAATCGCTGTGGGAGATTCACAAAAGGACATGGAATATAGAAGCAGGATGTGGAAATTGGGAGTGTGGTATAAACAGTCAGAGGGGGTTGCTCGACTTTGCTTAAATGTTCTGTTACAAGGAAGGGCTTAGAGGACAGTAGGGGGGTGGAGTAGAAAAGAACTCAAGGGGAAATGATTATGGAGTGAAAACAAAAGACAACAATAAATTAAAATAAAAGAAAAGAAGTAAAGGGCATGACCATGAATTGTATTGATGAGAAGATGTGAATCAATTGCATTCTGCACTGGGTTGGGGGAATGAAAAGAAGGGAATAAGCGTTTTTATAGCATCTACTAGGAGCCAGTAAGCACTTTACAAATATCATCTCATTTGAATCTCACAACAAACCAGTGAAGTAGGTGTTGTTATTGTCCTCATCTTATTTTTTTCTTTTTTTAAAAAATTTTTTATTAATTTATTTTGATTTATCAATAATCACTTCCATATACTTTTGAGTTTAAAATTTTTCTCCCCCTTCCTCCCCACCACCCTCCCCAGAGGAAGCACAATCTGATATAGGCTATACATTTACATTCATATTAAATATATTTTCACATTAGTGATGTTGTAAGTAGAAATTAGAACCAATAGGAGGAACCATCCGAAAGAGGAAACAAAACTCAACAGAAGAGAAAAAAAATAACAACTCGGCTTCCATAGTTCATTGTTTGGGTGTGGATAGTATTTTCCATCACAAGGCCTCTGGAGATGTCTTAGATCCTTGTATTGCCAGGAAGGGTTAAGTTTATCAATATTAGTCATCACACAACGTGGCTGTTATTGTGTACAATGTTCTCTTGGTTCTGCTCACTTCACTCAGCATCAGTCCATACAAGTCTTTCCAGGTTTTTCTGAAGTCAGCCTGTTCATCATTTCTTATAGCACAATAGTATTGCATCACATTCATATACCACAACTTGCTCAGCCATTCCCCAATTGATGAGCATCCTCTCAATTTCCAGTTCTTTGCCAGAATGAAAAGAGCTGCTATGAATATTTTTGTACATGTAGGTCCTTTTCCCATTTGTGTGATCTCTTTGGGATATAGCCCTAGAAGTGCTATTGCTGGGTCAAAGGGTATGCACATTTTTATAGGCCTTTGGGCATAGTTCCAAATTGCTCTCCAAAATGGTTGGATCATTTCACAACTCCACCAACAATGCATTAGTGTTCCAATTTTACCACATTCTCTCCAACATTTATCATTTTCCTGTTTTGTCATGTTGTCTATTCTGATGGGTGTGATGTGGTACCTCAGAGTTGTTTTGATTTGCATTTCTCTAATCAATAGTGATTTAGAACATTTTTTCATATGACTATAGATGGCTTTAATTTCTTCATCTGAGAACTGTCTGTTCATATCCTTTGACCACTTATCAATTGGGGAATGGCTTGTATTCTTATAAATTTGACTTAATTCTCTATATATTTTAGAAATGAGGCCCTTATCAGAGAGACTGGTTGTAAAAATTCTTTCCCAATTTTCTACCTTCCTTCTAATCTTAGTTGCATTGGCTTTGTTTGTGCAAAACCTTTTCAATTTAGTGTAATCAAAATTATCTATTTTGCTTTTCATAATGTTCTCTATCTCCTGTTTGGTCATGAATTCTTCTGTTCTCCATAGATCTGACAGGTAAACTATTCCTTGCTCTCTCAGTTTACTTATAGTATCAGCCTTTATATTTAAATTATGTGCCCTTTTTGACTTTATTTTGGTATATGGTGTGAGATTTTGGTCTATGCCTAGTTTCTGTCATCCTCTTTTCCAGTTTTCCCAGCAGTTTTTTTCAAAGAGTGGGTTCTTATCCCAGAAGCTGGGGTTTTTGGGTTTATCAAATAATAGATTATTATAGTCATTGACTACTGTGTCTTGCATACTTAACCTATTCCACTGATCCACCACTCTATTTCTTAGCCAGTACCAAGCAGTTTTGATGATTGCTGCTTTATAATACAATTTAAGATCTGGAATGGCTAGGCCACCTTCCCCTGCATTTCTTTTCATTAGTTCTCTTGATATTCTGGACCTTTTGTTCTTCCAAATGAATCTTGTTATTATTTTTTCTAACTCTATAAAATAGTTTTTGGGTAGTTTGATTGGCATGGCACTGAATAAGTAAATTAGCTTAGGTAGAATTGTCATTTTTATTATATAAGCTTGGCCTACCCATGAGCAACTGATGTTTTTCCAGTTATTTAGATCTGATTTTATTTTCGTGAAAAGTGTTTTGTAATTGTGTTCATAGAGTTCCTGGGTTTGTTTCAGGAGGTAGACTCCTAAATATTTTATAATGTCTGCAGTAAGTTTAAATGGAATTTCTCTCTCTATCTTTTGCTGTTGGGCTTTGTTGGTAATATATAGAAATGCTGATGATTTACGTGGGTTTATTTTGTAGCCTGCAACTTTGCTAAAGTTGTTTATTATTTCAAGTAGTTTTTTACTTGATTCTCTGGGATTTTATAAGTATAACATCATGTCATCTGCAAAGGGTGATAGCTTTGTTTCTTCTTTGCCTATTCTAATGCCTTCGATGTCTTTTTCTTCTCTTATTTCTAAAGCTAAAAAGTTTCCAGTACGAAGTTGAATAACAGTGGTGATAATGGACATCCTTGTTTCACCCCTGATCTTATTGGAAATGCTTCTAGCTTGTCCCCATTACATATTATGTTTGCTGAAGGTTTTAGATGGATGCTATTTATTATTTTAAGGAAGACTCCATTTATACCTATGCTCTCTAGTGTTTTTAATAGGAATGGGTGTTGTATTTTGTCAAAAGCTTTTTCTGCATCTATTGAGATGATCATGTGGTTTCTGTTAGTTTTGGTGTTGATATGATGGATTATGCTGATAGTTTTCCTTATATTGAACCAGCCCTGCATTCCTGGTATAAATCCTAGCTGGTCATAGTGTATTATTCATGTGATAAGTTGCTGTAATCTATTTGCTAATATTTTGTTTAAAATTTTTGCATCTATATTCATTAGAGAAATTGGTCTATACTTTTCTTTCTCTGTTTTAACTCTTCCTGGTTTAGGTATCAGCACCATATTGTATCATAAAAAGAATTTGGTAAGATTCCTTCTTTACCTATTTTACCAAATAGTTTACATAGTATTGGAATTAATTGTTCTTTAAATGTTTGATAGAATTCACATGTAAATCCATCTGGCCCTGGAGATTTTTTCCTAGGGAGTTCATCAATGACTTCTTCAATTTCTTTTTCTGAGATGGGGTTATTTAAGTATTTTACTTCCTCTTCTGTTAATCGGGGCAATTTATATTTTTGTAAATATATATCCATTTCATTAAGATTGTCAAATTTGTTGGCATGTAGTTGGGCAAAATAATTCCTAATTGTTATAATTTCCTCTTCCTCGGTGGTAGTTTCACCTTTTTCATTCTTGATACTAGTAATTTGGTTTTCTTCTTTCTTTTTTTTTTTAATTAGATGAACCAAAGGTTTATCTATTTTATTGGTTTTTTCATAAAACCAGCTCTTAGTTTTATTTATTAGTTCAATAGTTTTCTTAATTTCAATTTTATTAATTTTTCCTTTGGTTTTCAATATTTCTAATTTGGTGTTTAATTGAGGATTTTTAGTTTGTTCTTTTTCTAGTTTTTTTTAGTTGTATGCCTAGTTCATTGATCTCCTCTTTTTCTATTTTATTTATGTAAGCATTTAGAGATATAAAACTTCCCCTAAGAACTACTTTTGCTGCATCCCATAAGTTATGGTATGTTGTCTCATTATTGTCATTCTCTTGAATGAAATTATTGATTGTTTCTATGATTTGTTCTTTGACTCAATCATTTTTTAGGATTAGATTATTTAGTTTCCAATTATTTTTTAGTCTATCTTTCCATGGACCTTTGTTACATATAATTTTTATTGCTTCATGATCTGAAAAGGATGCATTTAATATTTCTGCCTTTCTGCATTGGATTGTGAGGTTTTTATGCCCTAGTACATGGTCAGTTTTTGTGTATGTGCCACGTACCGCCAAGAAAAAAGTATATTCCTTTCTATCCCCATTCAGTTTTCTCCACAGGTCTATCATACCTAACTTTTCTAATGTTCTATTCACCTCCTTAACTTCTTTCTTGTTTATTTTGTGGTTAGATTTATCTAGTTTAGAGAGGGAGAGGTTGAGGTCCCCCACTAATATAGTTTTGCTATCTATTTCTTCCTGTAACTCCCCGAACTTCT